CGAGACGCTCAGTACCTACATTATAACAGTATATTATAATGTATAAATAAAATATTGAAAATATGCAGACGATAATAATTTCTTAGAATATCTCGACTTTTTCTTTTGTCTAAATCTTGCTGAAAATGAAATAACTAGAATTTTATTATCCAGAGCAGAAAAATGCAGACAATTACGGAAAGAACCATTTTGCTAAAATATTAAAAAATTGACTTACTCTGAAAAAATATTAAATTTTAATAAATTCTATAAAATATTTAATTTTAATAAATTCTACTAAATGTAAACAAATAAATATTTACTAAATGTAAACATATTCATTTGATATAACAACCATTAATTTGACTTGTTTTACTACTATTTTTTATTACCATTTTTTATTGGGTTAATATTTACTATAAGTAAACGTTTACTTAGTACTATTAAAAAAAATATATATTAAGATTTAAAATTAAATTTTTTCCCGTATAGATATAAATCTGAAAATAATTTTGTTAAACTATCAAAATAATTATATAGGAAACTCAAACATGATGAACAATGCTGCAAAAAATTTTAATATTTTAGCTACCAGCTTGAGTGTTTTCCATAATTATTTCGATAGTTTAATAAAATTTTCAGAGATCCGTATTTAACTAAATTTTTAGATGCTTCAGCGAAATCGTTCTTTCTGTACACTAAAACGATCTTATGTTAGAATATCTTGACTTTTTCTCGTGTCTAAATTTTGCTGAAAATAAAGTCAAACTGAGAATTCTACTATGCAGAGGAGAAAATAAATGCAGGGAGAGTTAATGCGACTCGTCATCCTCCATTCGATTTCATCTGATAGACTAGATTACGACGATCATAAAGTTCAAAGCTGTGTAACTGTATCGCCGGCGAAGCGGACGTTTGTTGGGTATCGTGTGGTCTCGTATACGTCTTATAAGTTAGCGGAACAAAGTGAGCGGAATCGATTCTAACTAACATTTTTATTTGTTGCTCATTTGTTGCTAAAAAGTTGCCAAAGAAAAAAATTTGTTGCTCTGTCGGTTTATTTAAAAAAACGATGTTTCGCTAAAGGAAGATTCAGTTAGCGGAATAATACCTACAACAAAGCCAATCTACGCAGAAATAACGTAGGAATTTGTTGCTAATTTGTTGCTAATTTGTTGCTGCCGAAATAACATTTTTTTAAATACTTTACATACTAAAAAAGTGTAAACAACAACGAGAAATATGCTAAATTGCATATTTCGAGAGCAACTAATTCGGACGACATCGCAGTACCAATTTTAAGCGAGCAACAAGTCTTTTACTGGTACTTTACTCTTCTTCCCGCATGCTGAGGCTTCTCGTTGTTATTTACACTTTTTTAGTATGTAAAGTATTTAAAAAAATGTTATTTCGGCAGCAACAAATTAGCAACAAATTAGCAACAAATTCCTACGTTATTTCTGCGTAGATTGGTTTTGTTGTAGGTATTGTTCCGCTAACTGAATCTTTCTTTAGCGAAACATCGTTTTTTTAAATAAACCGACAGAGCAACAAATTTTTTTCTTTGGTAACTTTTTAGCAACAAATGAGCAACAAATAAAAATGTTAGTTAGAATCGATTCCGCTCACTTTATTCCGCTAACTTATAAGACGTCGTATTCGTCGGTATTGAATAACGCTCATTACACTTTTGTGACCGCGAGAAAAGGAATATCATAGAATCGGCGAGACAGCGATTGCTCATTTGCGGGGGGGGGGGGGTGGTGAAGATTTTCGCGGATGGAGATGATTTTATCCTCGAACTTTTCACCGATGCAGACTTGGGGTATGGTCTTTCTCCTAGGCGACACAATGAGCTTTTGTTTCTATTGAAAACGACATCGCCATGTTTCGCACAAGATATTAATCGGGGCGAAACTCTGTCGCGGATCAAGCGGTATTATAGCGGTCGCGTGTGCGTTCGTACGTGAGACCGCGGTCCGATTGAATCGTAAATTACCCTGCGGCGAATTATTCATGGCGCGCGTTTTCGTTTCGGTAGGCTGCGTAATAATCCAACCGCCCGTTTTGCAGCGCGTCAATTTTTAATGCCTTCTCGGCTTTTCGCGCAAGATTTGTCACCGTCGTGCTACCCCTGCGTAAATACATCCACGATACGATCATTAATCATGAACAACTCGGTAGAATTATTCACTAGTCTCTCCATGCAGTCGGTAAAAGCTGATCGGCGGTGAAGCTGTGGATGCGAAATGGATTGATTTTAACAAATGGCTAATCTCTCTATTTTGATGTACGATATCTTGCGTCAGAGAGGAAAGCGTACGTCGATGTCGATTAGCAGCTCGTAACTCATTAACTTTTTCTTCGCAATCTGGGTCTTTTTTGGTACAAACAAAATTTCACTCTCAAATTTCACTCTCATTTTTGCTCAAATTTAAATTTTTATTAACCCTTTGTGAACCGACGACCCCATTTGAGGTCACTCTCTTTTATTTTATAAATTGCTCGCTCGATTTTTATGAAACTTGGCCTATGGGATAATTTGCTTTAGGTACTCGAATTTAGGTCAAAAATACAAAATTCAAAATGGAAAGAAAAATAATTTGACTATTATACAATTCGGTTTTAGAGAGTTAATCGCGAAGCAACATCAAGTTCCTACACCGTTAGAAATGTAACCACGAGCTTCCTTTACATGTAAATGAAGCTCGTAGTTATGAACGAAATTAAAAGTAATGAATGATTTAACTGAAAATTAAGTTACAGTAGTTATTTAAATGTAATGAATATGTACGTTAAATTTTATAAATTTTTATGAAAAATACATTAAATTTCAAGTACTTACATATACTTTTCAGTTATATAGGGGCAAGTTGCCGAATGCGTACTGGTCGCCTAAATCGTACTTCATCAATATTTTATATTATTAGTTAATATAGACAATATTTAGTAACAATAATATAAAATATATGAGAAATGAGTAATATA